CCAGCGAGCAGACACAGCAGCCAGTGAAGAGGAAAGGGCACTGCACTGTGTGTAAGTCAGCCGTTACTCCGTTCCCAAGACGGTGCAGTTCAAATCGCTCCAGGCGAGAGCAGCGCGTTTACAAACGCAAGTGAAATGAGCGTGCTTATTTTGACTAAGTCAGACTCAGCAGTGTTATGGATTGCATTTATTTGCTGGATAATTTATGTGGTTGAAACTGCTTATCGTGAGGAGTTGGGTGGGGGAAAAGCCCTACACGGTAAACAATGATTTGCATAGTGAGCCGCGGGGAGGGGTAAGCTTATCATGACAGGTGTTTTGCTGCACATGTTCAGTTTAAAAATTCAGTTTGTGCTTTCCCCGTAGGAAAGATAGATCTCTTTTTAATATCTCCATTGTTTCTCCTAGATTGCAATGAGATGGAATAAAGAGCAAAGTCTCCTGTTTCTCAGATGTTTCTCCCTAGTAATCTCACATCCCTTTACATAGAGATCTCAGTAATGTCACAAACTGTGCTTTTCATTTTTAACTCTATATCCTCACAATATGCCACAGTTTCTGTTTCTGCTAGTAAAACTAAGGTAATTGTAACTTTATATTTCACAATTGCAATTTTATTTAGAGCAACAGTATTTTAAATCTCAAAATGTGACTTTCTTGTCAATTAAATCTTATATTGCACAAAAATAGCTTTCAATTAAAATCTCACAATGTGATATTTTTTCCCCAATGTGACTCTTGCAACTGGGATTTTGTTTCTCATAATTGCGACTTTATATCCCGCAATGTTACATGACACAGTTGTGTCTATGATTTTTGTAACAGTCGTTTTAAATCTCTCAATCCGACTTTGTCCTGTAACTATGACTTTTTGAAATTGCAACTTTGTTTCTCATAATTGTGACTTTGTATTCCAAAATGTGACTTTACATATCATTCACATTACATCATAACTGTCATTTTAAATCTCACAATGTGACTTTGTATTGCAAATTATCTTACCATTTTATTTTCAACTTTATACTGCACAGAGTAACTATATCTCACAGTTAGGACCTGTAATTGTCATTTTAAATCTCACAATGTGACTTTGTATTGCAAATTGTTTTGCCATTTTAATTTCAACTTTATACTGCACAACATAACTATATCTCACAGTTATGACCTGTAATTGTCATTTTAAATCTCACAATGTGACTTTGTCTTGCAATTGAGTTTGTTTCTTGTAATTCACTTTATGTCCCACAATGCGATCTCAACTGTGAATTTATTTATTTTAATTTAAACATTATATTGCGCAGAGTGAATGTCAATTACAACTTGTTATTGTTTCTTGCAATTGCGACTTTATGTCTCATAATGTGACTTTATCGCAGTTGCAAATTTATTTCTTGTATTTTCCACTTTATACTTTGCAAAGTGACTCCATCTTGCAATTGCAACTTTATTTAAAAGTGGAAGTGAAGTGACATGTGGCCAAGTATGGTGGCCCATACTTGGAATTAGTGCTCTGCATTTAACCCATCCAAAGTGCACACTCACAGCAGTGAACACACACACACCGTGAACACACACCCGGAGCAGTGGGCAGCCATTTTTTTTGCTGCGGCACCCGGGGAGCAGTTGGGGGTTCGGTGCCTTGCTCAAGGGCACCTCAGTCGTGGTATTGAAGATGGGAGAGAGCTCCCCCCACCTACAATCCCTGCCAGTACGAGACTCGAACCCACAACCATTAGGCCACGACTTCCCAATTCTGACAAATTAGGCTTATATCTCACAGTGTGGCTTTATATATCACACACTGTGTCCCATGTGCTGACGAAGGTCAAATAAAATATACTAGCAAATTTAAAAATGTTTGAGTGCGAATCTTTGGTTCATATGTGAACTAATTAAATTTATTGACAAACCAAAAACATAAAATGCAAGAGCACTGTGTAAACGGCTGTGAGACACATTTTTATGTGACAATTAAATTTTTTTAAATCTCAGAAACAGGCTTTCATACATCTGAGACAAGTTGATACTTAAATTACATATAACTCAAAACTATGTTTCCTGAGTCATGAAAAAGCAACCTTTTCTGAGTCATGAAAAAGCAATACAATCTTCTTCTCTGCTGAAAAAAATTATAATAGGATCTACATTTAAAATATCACAAAGTCGATATGAAAAATTTTGGTGCATAGCAGTAAAAGTAGCAGTAACAGCATACTATTTGCCATATACTCTGTCAATTTTGATTTCATAAACTATATTTCGTAAGGAAGATCCATCTTTTCCTGTAAGTCAAAGCCATAATTGACCCATGTCTAATCTGGCCTGTTTTCTGCTCACCCTGAGTGTGTGCTGGTAAGCACTTTGAGGCTTGCGGCGTTGCGGAGGAGCTTGTCAAGTGTGCTGACGATCTGTCCAAAGCGTGGCCTCATATTCCGCTCCTTCACCCAGCACTCCAGCATGAGCTGGTGCAGCACTGCGGTTTTAATTTCAACTTTATACTGCACAACATAACTATATCTCACAGTTATGACCTGTAATTGTCATTTTAAATCTCACAATGTGACTTTGTCTTGCAATTGAGTTTGTTTCTTGTAATTCACTTTATGTCCCACAATGCGATCTCAACTGTGAATTTATTTATTTTAATTTAAACATTATATTGCGCAGAGTGAATGTCAATTACAACTTGTTATTGTTTCTTGCAATTGCGACTTTATGTCTCATAATGTGACTTTATCGCAGTTGCAAATTTATTTCTTGTATTTTCCACTTTATACTTTGCAAAGTGACTCCATCTTGCAATTGCAACTTTATTTAAAAGTGGAAGTGAAGTGACATGTGGCCAAGTATGGTGGCCCATACTTGGAATTAGTGCTCTGCATTTAACCCATCCAAAGTGCACACTCACAGCAGTGAACACACACACACCGTGAACACACACCCGGAGCAGTGGGCAGCCATTTTTTTTGCTGTGGCACCCGGGGAGCAGTTGGGGGTTCGGTGCCTTGCTCAAGGGCACCTCAGTCGTGGTATTGAAGATGGGAGAGAGCTCCCCCCACCTACAATCCCTGCCAGTACGAGACTCGAACCCACAACCATTAGGCCACGACTTCCCAATTCTGACAAATTAGGCTTATATCTCACAGTGTGGCTTTATATATCACACACTGTGTCCCATGTGCTGACGAAGGTCAAATAAAATATACTAGCAAATTTAAAAATGTTTGAGTGCGAATCTTTGGTTCATATGTGAACTAATTAAATTTATTGACAAACCAAAAACATAAAATGCAAGAGCACTGTGTAAACGGCTGTGAGACACATTTTTATGTGACAATTCAATTTTTTAAAATCTCAGAAACAGGCTTTCATACATCTGAGACAAGTTGATACTTAAATGACATATAACTCAAAACTATGTTTCCTGAGTCATGAAAAAGCAACCTTTTCTGAGTCATGAAAAAGCAACACAATCTTCTTCTCTGCTGAAAAAATTTATAATAGGATCTACATTTAAAATATCACAAAGTCGATATGAAAAATTTTGGTGCATAGCAGTAAAAGTAGCAGTAACAGCATACTATTTGCCATATACTCTGTCAATTTTGATTTCATAAACTATATTTCGTAAGGAAGATCCATCTTTTCCTGTAAGTCAAAGCCATAATTGACCCATGTCTAATCTGGCCTGTTTTCTGCTCACCCTGAGTGTGTGCTGGTAAGCACTTTGAGGCTTGCGGCGTTGCGGAGGAGCTTGTCAAGTGTGCTGACGATCTGTCCAAAGCGTGGCCTCATATTCCGCTCCTTCACCCAGCACTCCAGCATGAGCTGGTGCAGCACTGCGGGGCAGTCCATGGGAGGAGGCAGCCTGTAGTCCTGCTCCACTGCGTTCATTACCTACAGCATCAACAGACAGAGCAATTACACTGTCCTTTTGCATTAGGACAAACTCAGCAGTATGCAGTTTTATCAGGCATACAGTATATGACCGAAACGTTACAATCGTTAAACCATAATAAAGACTAATAGACTTGAAAAAAGAGCATCTCAGAATAAAACACATAGCATTGTGCTTGCAGTATAGACAAAACAGCATATAGCACTGATCAGAGATAATAAACATTTAGATAAAAGAGATTAGTATTAAATGTGAAAGGATGGATCTCATGAAATCTGTCAGGAATATGTCTGGGTCATAAATGCATGCAAAAATTTAATTCTCATTGCTGTATTGCATTTAAATATGAAATAGTAAGTGTTTAGTATAGTTATAGTATTTGTTTAATTACCTTTTATTTAAGCTGATTAAAAAAATAATACAAAAATAAATAAAAATGCGATTACAGTATTTTTTCTGTTGTTAATACTGTAACACAATGATTTTTAAAAATTTTTTAATTCTGCATAAATATGAAAACACCATTGAGAATTATGGGAATTACAAACAATTCAAACGTAAAACTAGGAAAACTCAGAATTTAAGGGTAAATGTTATTAATTGTCATGAAAATATTTAAAAATAGTCACAATTTAAAATATTTTAAACATCAAATTTCCTTTTATGCAAAATCCAATTTCTTACTTGTCATTTTGGACTGAAATGTGACCTAAACATGAGATTTCATGAGATTCACTCAAAATGTAACATAAAAAGTTGACTTACATCTAGGCCTGTCACGATAACAACTTTTTGTTGTGCGATATATTGCCCCAGAAATAACTGCAATATGTGATATTATGGTCATTTAAAGGGGTCATATGATGCGATTTCAATTTTTCCTTTCTCTTTGGAGTATTACAAGCTCTTGGTGCATAAAGAAGATCTGTAAAGTTGCAAAGACTAAAGTCTCAAATCCAAAGAGATATTCTTTATAAAAGTCAGCCGCACCTACCTAAAACAGCTCATTCTAACACACCCCCACATGTCTACGTCACGATGTGGGAAGATTTGCATAACACCGCCCAAATGTTCACGCAAAGAAAGAAGGTGTAACTTTTAT